CTCTACCGCTGGCTTTTAAGCAATACCATGAGAGCAGCTGAGAATTAAGTACCTTTTATCGAGGCTTCCTCTATAATACTAACAGCTACTGAGGGAGCTGCACAGGTTCTCTTTCTTCTTGACATCTTATTTACCTGCAAAACACTCATGTCTGCAGCCGAGCCGTCAGCCGAGAATCTGCAAGGCTGGAATTGTATATCAGGTACCATCGGTTGGTGATATTAATCTCAGTGAAACCTGGAGACCAGTGTATTGTTTGGTGCGTTCTCACATCATATTTCAAATGAACTCACACATCGATCGGGGCTTTAGTCTGCAGCACACAAAGCAAATGCGTATGTGCTGTTGGGATTAGCGGTGACATTTATTTTTTTGGACGCAAATACCAAACTGTCCTCAAGGTGTAAAAACTAATTATAGACAAAGTTCTCGTTCGGTCCTGTAGCGGTGCCTCTCGCTTGTATTGATCTCTTCTGTTTTACAAACCAATTTTCTTGACAGTGACGTGAGATTACATCAAACCTTAAAGAGTTTCTCCACGTGAGTCAGGTTGGTCATCTCCTCTATCTGTTTACACAGCAGTGTGAATTATTGATGAATGTGGTTCTATATATAGGAATTGAATCTGATGAGGGCAGCAGCAGCAGCAACGCAGTTTGTCCTGAGGGGGAAAAGAAAAAGTGCTGCATTTGAATAATGTGCCCAAAGATCTCACCGAACAGGAGGTGCTTGTGTTGAGGGCAGCTTCAGTGAGAGATACATTGGATCTGTGTGTGTGTGTGTGTGTGTGAGAGAGGGTATATGAGGATGTTATGGAGAGTGGAAATTATGAACATTATGAACTGATCGCTTTTTCAAATGCACAAAAATCTACTGTGTGACTGTCAGGGTGCATTGTTTGCTTGCTTGTCCTTGAAGTATCACCATTTTTAACCGTTTTGGAAAATGTCAGCAGCCTTTGTTACGTGTTTTTGTTCCTGACGTCTTTTATATTCAGTATTATGGATGAACTGAAGCGCAGTACACTGTTGTTTGACTTCATTTATTTTACAGATCTTTCATGGAAGCTTTATGGGTATTATATTTAAGCCTTACTGTAATATGTTTCACTTGTAGATACAACAACACAGTATTTTAGCCATCCATTACAATATTTCAGTGTCTGTTCTTAAATTCAAGTGACCTGCACTACTGGTGCAAATACTTCTTCCATGGTTTTTCAACAAATTATCTTTTTCAACTTAAAGTGTCACATTAAAGGTTTAGTGGAATCTAGTGTTTCATCCTCTCCTCCCAACTGCGAAGAAGAAACTATATGGCGGTAGCAAAAGTAATTTCTCCACGGGGATTATTAAAGTATTTCTGATTTTGATTTCTGAAAACGTGCAAGAAACGCAAACGCCCCTGTCCAGAGACTGTGTTTGGTTTGTCCCTTCTGGGCTACTGTAGAAACATGGCGGTTCAACATGATGGCCTCTATGGAAGGTGACCAATGGTGTCTGTAAATAAAAACAGCTCATTCTAAGGTCACCAAAACATAATGATTCCCCTTTTACAGGTGAGTATACACTAATAAAACATAAAATAAAAAAATAAAACATAGTTATGAATATTATATCTATATTTATATATCTTACCAAGCATTCTATACCATAGACATATTTTATTTAAAACCTAAAAGTTATTGAGGCGTAATATTCAGCCTTAATGCTGGTTGATGTATTCTGTCCGTCCGTACATGAGCTGTGGATGGATATTTATTAAAGCGTGTCAGCTGTGATCAATAGCCATCTGTGTTATTCTGTAGTTGTCAGTCAGGTGTCGAATACATCAAGAGAAATGGTTTCGATTATCTCTTGTAGTAGCAGACATTTTTCATCTGTGTGTTCACTCGAGAGTTTTAAAGGCAAATACAAGTTTAATTGTTTTGGCTTGCCCTCAAACTAAGTGACCCAGTTGAAAACCTTCAAATATGGTTGCTTTTTTTTATTTTGCTTATTTTGCTTCTCTTGCTGAAACATTCAATATGAATAACTGACTTTGAACCAGGTTCTCCTTGATTTCTATTGAGACCTTGACGAGATATTCTCCAAACAAAATAGAACAGGAAGCAAGAAAAGTTAGACTGTGAGCAAAACGCTTCTTTTTCTGCTGACTTCACTCAAAGTTCACGTGACATGGGCTATGCATCTTTATTAGCCTATATTGTTTTGCAATCTGGCACATTTTTAGTTTGAACAGAATGTTAGAATGATAAGCAGCATACACAGGGGCTGTCGATAGAGGACTGAATAGATTATAGAGCATAGCAAACAGGGCTGTGAAGTTCAGTTTATAATTCTATGTAAAGTTGACGTGGCAAATAGTGTTGAGTTGTCAAAAAAATATGGATTCTTTGAAATAAATACATTCCAGGCAGCCACAGGGACTTGGCATGTGATTTAATGGGAAGAAAAGGAGGGGTTTGGGGTTGAATACCTAAAAAGCTCAGTGGTTTATACAATATGATGTCACTGAATTTGCCTCTAGTGTCCCATCACGTTGCCATTTTTGGTTTTCAGTGAAATTTCTCAACAACTGTTGAATGGATTGCCAATGAAATGTGGTAAAGACCTCCATGTCCAGTGTACAATTTTAGTGATCCACCATCAGGGCAAAATGTGAATTCATCCAATTCTCTGGTTTATGACCATATACATGCAAAACTAATGATATCCCTATTCACCTAAGCTGTACTTTGTCTAAGTGCTAATTAGCAACTGTTATCATACTAACACTCTGAACAAAGATAGCAAACATTGTAAACACTATACCTGTTAAACATCAGAATGTTATCATCGTGAGCATGTTAGCATTTATCTCCAAAAGTGCATCCTCCCAGCAAGGTTATTATAGTAACCAACCACTTTTAATTAATTGAAATAAAATAAAAACTAGATGTTAAAACTTAAAACTAGACAGGAAATGTCTTTAGTTCTTTGTCATTGATAAAATGCATCAACACAACAAGCTCGAGGAGACACTGGTGCATATGTTCTTCTTAATCCTTGCCCTCATTGTTAATCAATTAAAACTAAACTGAACCGGGCAAACCCACCCTGGAAACAAACTGAACTGAAGCCTCACAGAGCTGCTAGCATGGCTTTATACTTTGAGTCTTGTTAATCCCCGTTCTCTCCACGTTCTGCTCCCCGTGCGTTTGGATTTCATCTACAGTTTATTTTTACACGACTTGTGAAATCACCAGTCTTACAGCGCTGATTACAGACTGTAGCGCAGTCACGTCTTCATCTTCCTCCTCACCTCACCAGTCACCCCTGTGGCCTCCCGCCTCGCCTGCCCTGCCAACAGCTCAACACGCCACACAGAGCTGATCACTCGGCAGAGACTCCCCCGTCTCATTGTGACAGTCAGACTGTGACATCGTGTCAGTCTGGTTGGCAGTGTGGTGGAGCTGCAGCTGAGACTGTGACGGAGGTCTCCCTCTGTTGTTCTGCTGGGTTCTGAACGTGCAGCATATCTCAGATAATGACTGTGCTTAAGATAGCGCTGTCAGGGAGAGGGCTGATCCTCACTTTTGCATGACGTGGCCCTACTCATACTCCTACACACGATACAGTTGCGTAGTGTGTTATGAACTTTATGACAGGTTGTCTAATTATTAATCATTTTATGGCTGCCATGTCAACAGCATAAACCTGCTCTCTGGCCCTAATGCAAATTTCAAACAGCTTACGTATATCTATCTCAGGGTCACCTTCACCCTTCATAGCCTACTGAAGGAATGTGTGGTGTATTGAAATGGAGCCTCTTTTATTATCTGGACCACTGGACCAAACTCTTGAAACCTTCTCTCATTCCACCTTCTACTTCTTTTCTCCTCCGGTCTTCCCTTTCTCCGTTTCAGAAACTAACTAATTCCACTAAGTCTAAATAAGTAAGTAAGCTTTTCCAGCATCGCTTTCCAGAGTGTATAAATCTGAAAACTTCAGCTGCACTTTTTAAAAAAAAATAAAACTTGAGCCTAGAGGATGTGTGGGAGTAAGTTAAGATGACAACTTTCTGTCACTTCTAACCCTCCTGGATGACTTATTTTAAATGTCAGTATAGCAGCTTGTACACATCTCATTGCAGCAGCTCAAGAGTAGCATTATGACCATTATGATCATTATTTTATTATTTTGTTCAACAGAAACAACTAAACAGTGGGACAGATGTTGAGCCAGATGTCATCAAACCAACATGAATGTCTCATATTTGCCCCGTCCAAACAGTGAAACAAGTTGCCATTGATTGTTTTATAAAAATATGCAACCAACGTCAAAACATGGATCACAATTTTTTTGAAAAGCTGCCGTAAAATCAGACATTTTCAGTCACAACAATCCCCAAGAAAGCCAGTGAAATCCTGGAGAGACTGACAAAATCATGAGTGTGTCTGTTTAACCAGCTGAAAGTTTTAGTTGCACTCCTGACCCGATGCACCAGAGCCTTTGTTGGACAAGTTTCCCAACTAAAACAATAAACCAAAAATTCTATTGTGGACAGATACAAGTTTACAACCAGAAAAAGCAGCTGTGAATTGTGTCGCTTTCATACAGTAGCCCTACAATAACCCTTCGCATTTTTCTGGAAGACACACATATTTTAGGTGAACAGAAATAGTTTGTTTGTTCCCAGCATTTAAAAAAGAGCCATGACTAATAACTTCAGTAATAATACCTCTTGTGTGCTGCCTCTATAGAGGTATTCAAATGTCTCCCATTTTCTGCGGTTTAATCTGATTGTGAAATGAAACTCTGATCATATCAGCAATTCCACCAAAGTCTGGTCATTAAACACCTCACACATCCACACTACAGCATCTACAGTGCTGTTCATAAACAGCAGCAGCAGCCCACCTACCCCCCAACCCCCCCTCTCTGTCCCTCTGGCCCGCTGCTCTGTCTGAGCCATTCAAGCAAAGCGCCACAGGATTATCCCTCACTCATTGAGAAACACACACACACACACACACACTGTCTTTTCCTGCACTGTGCTCTAGGCACGAAGATCTCAGATCACAGATTAGTGGTCCTCTTCCCCCATGCTCCGCACGCTGATGCTCCGTCAGTCAGAGAGGACGCAGAAAATAAACGAACGGGAGGGGAGAAGAGGAGGAGAGGGGCTGAGTGCTGGAGGAGCCCACGTGTCTCTTTTCTCCTAGCTGCAGCCTTAGCCGCTGTTAATGGAGGACTGGGGGTAAGCTTTTGTTGCTCTGGCGGGGGGCTGTGCTCTCCCACTCTCCGGGTCTATTGCTGGTCTTTGTCTCAGGGTTTGACTCTCTTGGCTTGTTGATGCTACAGGCTCGCTGTGCTGCGAGTGGCTGTGCTTTTTTGGTGCCTGTGCACTTGCGGGGAAGGGGATTCCCAATGCTCTCTCAGTGCTTGTTTGTGAGGATGTAGATCTTTGACTGAGACTGCAGTGAAAGAGGAGAAAGAGTGAAGAATGAATGAAAGCAATGTGATGCTGACTAAACCTTGACGGTGCTGCCAATGTTGTGGTTTGTGTGTGTGTGTGTGTGTGTGTGTGTGTGTGTGTGTGAGTGGGTGGGTAGGTATTGTTTGTCTACATCGAATAACTCACTAGATAGTGTACTCTGAATTAGAAATACAGCCAGATTCATGTTGTTATTTCTGTCTCAGTTTTACCTCTACTTGTTGGCTTTGATAGGAAAGTGGAAGAAGCTCGTCAGTGGCTGTTTTCCTACACTGCGATTCTGTGCAAGCGAAGGGCTATCCTGAACAAAAGCCCCCTCTCGGCATGTAGCTAATGGATTAACCAAGCATGATAAACATCCACTCATGCCGTGCTCCACGCTGCATCCGGTCGAGGCATTTGTTTTGCTCAAAGCTGTTGGGTTAGACCTTTGTGGAGATTTCACTGGGTTAACTGGATTTTGGATTTTGGAGTCCCCTCACTTTCCTCTCTCATTCCATCTTTGCCCTTCATTGTCACAAGTGTTACTCCATCCATTTGGTCCACGGTTGACCCAAATACCCGTGCAGCTCCCACCCCTCCCCCTGACCTCCTATCAAAACACATCTCTGCTCCTTCCCTTTCTATTGTTCCATATGTGTCTCTTCATCAAACCCTTTCTTCAGCAGGAGCTTTTGTTGTGAGGTTTTTTGTTGTTAATTATGAGACAATCATCCAACCATAATAAACGGATTCAAAGAAACATAAATAAACAGTACACAGATAGTGCCCACCTCCATCAGTGTGGTGTTTCATAAACTTTTGTGACAAATCAAATAGCTTTTCATTGTGTGAGGTACAAGCACAAAATCTGTGTCTTGAAGAAATAGTTGGATATTCGCATGTCTCTCGCGTTATATATAAGACTAAAAAGGTTAGCTTAGCATAAAGACTGGACACAGCAAGCTCACGGTGTCCAAAGATAACAAAATCTACCTACCAGCACACCTAATTAACGCGTTATGTTTCATTTGTGTAATCCATACACAAAAACAGAGTATAGAAACGTCAAATTGTGACTTTCAGAGGGGGGTTATATAAGGTTTCCAGGTAACCAGCAAAGGAAGTTACTCTTCCCAGCCAAGAAATAAATAGTCTGACACATCAACCCCTGTAAAACCAGTTTCTATGCTTCGATCCGGTACAGATTAACCACAGAAGGTCTTTAGAGGTGCAGGGAGGCAGATTTGTTTCCATTAGACAGAATGAGGTTAGCTGTTTCCAGTCTTTGTGCTAAGCTAAGCTTACCGGCTGTAGCTTAATATTTACCTTGCAGAAATGAGAGTGGCGTTAATCTACTCAGCTTACTCTCAGCGAGATATCAAATATTATTTACCCATATGTTGAACTATTCCTTTACCATACAAATGTCATCCATCAGAGGTTGAATGACTCATTCTCAGCATACTTTGGTTGTTTTATGAAGCACCGTGGCAGAACTGACCTTGCACATTGTAACCGATGTGGCATTACAGCATCACAGAACAAATCCTTATGAAATGCTCTCACAGTATCATCTGTTTAGTGATATTTTGTATTCCAGCAACGGCTCAGTGAAACTTGTCTGTAGCTGCAGCTGGCATTTCACTGCACTGATAACAGTATTTTCAAATCGTCGTTGCTATTTTGTTGTCATCTCGTGTTTGTCATCCAGGTTAATTTGCATCCTCCTCACTTTGCATCTTATCTTGATCTGCTTTTCTGTTTCGTTCGGGAGGGTTTGTGTGTTGTGTTTGTGGCTCCTGCCTCACCCGCAAACATTCATATCCCACCTTGGATTTTTTTTGGTAATGCATCTTTTTTCAAATCTCAGTGTTGTACCGCTTCCGTGCTTGCATGCTTGTGCAAATATCTAAAGTAGACTAAATGTCTGGGCTTTTGTTGTCATATGATAGTGGGGTAGAGCAGCTGAAAGTGATGATTAATTTAAAAAAGTCTGTTGAGCTAATGTGCAGGTGGGAAGCTCTGATATCCAAGGCTTAAAGGGAAATTGTGGTATTTCTCTACCTTATTCTCATTAGGACAAATAGTCTGGTTTCACCCAAAGTAGATCCATATGCAGACAGAATAAGTCATCCAGGGAGGTCTAAAATCCTGGTGTGGTCCTGTACTGTCAGCCCGTCCTGAATGACGGTGCCTAACATAATGCAAAACCAAATTAAATTCTTGTAGTAAAATAGAACAAATTACCCTATTTTAACCTTAAACCAAATGGCTTACGGTCGAAGTAAGGAATTTAAACGTCATTGGCACGCATACTTCATCATAATTTCTGTACGCTGTGTGAACGTTTGTCTGTGTTTGAAACTGTAGTTTGAGCTGTGAACTGAACCTGAACTGGTGAACTGATGAGGCTGAAGCAGCACCAGGATCATGTTTTCAGTCTGTCTGTGTCTTCACTGACTCATCCATTATTTGATGTTTTTCTTGTAATAATCAGTCCCTGAGCAGGCAGATAGATCGACCTGTTGTTGTCTTGCATCTATCTGTAGTTTTGTGTGTCTTTGTAGTTGTTTTGCATCTCATTTTGCGTCCCCTGTATTCGTGTTGCATCTTTTTGTAGTTGCTTCATGTCCTGTTGTAGTCGTTTTGCTTCTTTTTGTGGTTGTTTCAGTCTTTTTGTACTTCTTTTGTGTCTCATTCTGCATCCCTGTGGTTGTTTTGTGTGTCTATGTAGTTGTTTGATTGACTTTTCCAGAAATGTCAAGAGTCACTTCAAAGGCTCAGAGTCTCTGGCAGGGGCCCCTTGATCCTTCGGGCCCACATGGACGTAGAGATTGTTTTGATTTTCTCTCTTTCCCCTCTCATTTTGTGTTCTAATTTCAGTGTCATCATTAGCAATCGTGTCACGGCTATTAATTTCTGCTGCAGCATAAGGTGTTCCAGCGGGGCCTTGGGATAATGTTAGTTGACTAGAATGAGGGAAGATTACGCTGCAATTAAGGCTACAGTGTTCTGACAGAGGCTGGGTGAGAGTCGATAACGCTGACAATGACGAGCCAGTCATTAAATCTATTGACAAAGTCATCTCAGGCGAGTAGAGGGAGAAATAACCGGAAGCACTCAGGTTATGGGGGTGATTGTGGTTCTGTAAGTACTTGATAGCCTCATGTGGAAAGTGAAATGCTTTACTTATGGACTTCACTGATCTTTAGTCTGGACTTTGTATGTGTATCGGCTTATTATCTACAGTATCAGCTTGTGAATCTATAATTCTCATGATTTAAAGATGATTACAGCTGAAGCAACTGTTTGATTGAGTAGTAATTTATCAAGCAAAACTATTTAATTTACTACCAGTTTCTTCATTTTATATCATTGTTTATTCAATCATTGTAATCTGAATCTTTGGGTTTTGGACTGTTGGACAGACTAAATGAGAAATGTAAAGATATCATATTGGGGTTTAGGAAATAACAGGCATTGTGACAGCCATTTTTCATCATTTTTAGACCTCTAATTGAAAAATAATGAGCAGATAATGAATATAACTGTTAGTTGCAGCCCTAGTTTCAGCCTTAGACTATATTTCACAAGTTGGTTTCCGGAACACGTTTAATCGGGCTAATGAACACGTCATTCATTTGTCAGCCATTTGTCAGACACGTTATCTGCTGTTCTTTAAATATCAGCTTATTTTTTTAATAATTCTGTGTGGTTAATAATCTCTTGCATAAACCTTTCATGTACCGCACCTTTTTCCAATTGCGTAAGCATTTTATAAGAGCACGAACAAAGTATCAAGATTAAGACTATGTTGTTGTGATTACATGAGCTGCAGGAGTAAGCGTTTAATCTGTATGTGAAGGGCTGAAACAAAAAAAATTTTTTAAATCACAACGTGTGAGACGATTCTTTTAGCGAATACAGAGAGACTCTGTACAGACACATTGTTTGCAGCTTATAACCATATTTTATAATTGTGTGTTTACCAGCTCATGCCTCTGTGTTTACACTCTTCTGTGCTCGTCTTCTCTCACAGTGCATGAGGAGCGTCACTCTGCTACAGACCGCCACAGCCTGAAACCATCCTGCCAAAATCTGGGACCATGTCTGGAGCCTACGACGAGTCCGCCAGCCAGGAGGAGACCACAGACAGTTTCTGGGAGGTAAGACAGCGGGGAATGGTCTTTTGACAGATTAAACCTAACTGGGAGGTGACACTGCTTAGTGATGAACTCTCACTGAACCTGCTTCGTCTTCGGGGTGAGAAGGAAAATGTGGGGCCTTGTTTATCACACATAAACTCACGGGCCTAATTCTACGCATAGAATCAGATTTATCAGCATGCGATCAATCACTGAGCGTCTGCCACTTTATAGCAGATCTCCGAGCCAGCATGTACTCTTTTAATCACTCAAACTGCTACGATTCGATGCCAGCGTTTTTTATTGAGTTGAGTTGACAAAGCCAGCTAAATCTAGTTAGGCAACTGTTAAAATAAGTGCAACAATTAAAAACAAATCATTTACTCTTTTGGTCCGGCCTGTACTGTGGTTTTTCTCTCAGTGTAGCCATCAGGGAGTAATTGCAACAGTTTTTTCATCTGTGGATGACACTGAAGTGGCACTCTGTCACCCACCTGTGACACTGATGTCTCTTTTGTGAGCTGCAATTGTTTTTCCAGCACTTTCAGGTCTTTTTTTTCCCACCTTCGATGGAGCTCTTGTTCTTATTAGAGATGACACAGTTTGCAGCATTTATCACCACCACACCAATATACTCCATATCTTCCATAACGACTCCTCCAACTCTCCTGATAGGACTAGCAGACAGGTCTCCATTAAGTAAATCTCCCAAATTGAATCTGTCTGCTATATGTGTCAAGGAGTAGTTAACTTTAGTAGCAGACAGTGACATCACATAAATTCAAATAATTTGACTAAAAATAGTACTTCTTGGGTTTCCTGTGATTTCAAAAAAATGTCATTAACAATTAATATAACCGTTATCTTTCTCAGTTAATTTAATTAATATTTAGTAATTTAGTTAATTTGAGAGTTTTAGTCAGATTCTTAAAGCCTCAGATTCCGTAATATTGTTTGTTTTGTCTGACTAATAGTCCAAAACAACAACATATCCCGATTCTTTATTCTTTATTCTTCCTGGGGTCCACACAGAAACAATGAAAACAATCATACAATATCAATAAAACAACAAATGAAGCTCAGAAGGTGAAATGATTCAACGAACACCAAAAAGATCAATAAAAACCACCAAAAAGGTTCCAAAACAGCAAAAGCAAAATAGAGGTGTGATTTATTTAATAAAATAATTTATTATTAAGTTGAAATCTACTTTTGGTCTGTCTGGATTATACATCCAGATTACTGTCACATAAAATTGTTGTCTTAGTTCTAGATGACGGTACGTTGTGCTGGGTTTCCCTCATACAATTACATAACCAACAACCTTTCCTGAGCACAAACAGTCCCAGGTAATTTGAGCAACAAGTTCCCAGAAGTCCATTCATTATATATGAGAGGTTGGACACCGTTCATGGTGTTCAAACCATGAAGACACATCTTAAGCTACAGATAATACTGACGATCATGTTGCTGCATGTTTGGATACAGTATGTGTGATGGATCGACTCAGTGAGTATTTAAGACAAAAAAGACGTATTGTCACTTCAGGGTTTGTAGTCCGTTTCCTCTCTGACTCGGCTGTATTTTATCCTCATCATGTTTATCCTCCAGCCGGGCATTGTGCTCAGGAATCAGCTGGAGCAGCAAAGGTGCCTGTTTCCAGCACACAGTCACTACATCACAGTCAGTCGTTGCATTACAGTAGAGCTGCTGCAGTGCTGACTCGGCTGGCTGCTGCTGAAGCACAGGGCTGGTGTGGAATACAATCATTTGTCCCCCCCTGCCTGCTTTCATTTAGTCCACATTTGAGATGTTGTTGAGTGTCATTTTCAAGGTGAGGTGTAGGTAAACAGCTATTACACATTCAGCAATGATGCAGTCCCTTTTTCCATTGTCACAAAGGTGTGAAATGAATGCAGTAAAATGGGATTTAAGCATCGTTCTCACTCTCTGGGCAAAGCTAATAGCTCTCTGGGAGGTTGCTGCTCCTGCGTCCACGGAGAGTAGTAAATTATATGACATTAACCCACCCTCTGCTTCCATTGCATAACTCTGCACACAGCAGCAGCAGTCTCTTCCCTGCTGTCCCCCCTCCTGCTTATTCAGTACAACCTACACGCTGCATTTAAAGTAGCACCTATAACAATAATAAAGAATACAGCAGTTTTCTCAGTAATACAAATCATGCCTTCTTCAGAATAATGAGCAATTGTCACTTTTTTGCTGTATTTAGCAGATAATTTATCTCACAAAGAAACAATAGGACATCAGAAAATCTCGCCACAATAAAAGAAAGAATTAGCATAAAATAGGGATCCTGATAAAGATTTATTTCCATCTTCATTAATCAAAACTGTAAAGATGAAAGATTAAGGGAAATTCAGTGTTTCCAGTTGTATGAATTTATTGATGGTAACTTGAGACATTATTTCTATGCAAGGTTGGGAACTACAAGCGTACGGTGAAGCGGATTGACGATGGTCACCGGCTCTGCAATGACCTGATGAACTGTATCCAGGAGCGTGCCAAAATCGAGAAAGCCTACTCACAGCAACTGACCGAGTGGTCCAAGAGGTGGAGACAGCTGGTAGACAAAGGTAAGCAGTGTTTCTCACTTAGATTAAACCCACAACATACCCGACATTAGTTACATTACATACACATACATTGCTGTGTGGTTATATCATGGAATTTGTCACAGTATTAGATACTTCCAGAATCGCTTCCCCCACCTTTAACCGAATTCATGCTTCACTTGACTTACTCACCTTTTCATTCCTCCACCAGGGCCTCAGTACGGCACAGTAGAGCGAGCTTGGGTGGCCGTGATGACAGAGGCGGAGAAGGTGAGCGAGCTTCACCAGGATGTCAAAAACAACCTGATCAACGAGGACTTTGAGAAGGTGAAGAACTGGCAGAAAGACTTGTACCACAAACAGATGATGGGAGGATTCAAGGAAACCAAAGAGGCCGAGGAGGGCTTCAAGAAGGCCCAGAAACCCTGGGCCAAAAAGCTTAAAGAGGTGAGGAGATACATTTTGAGTCTGCCCAAGGACACTGAACTCATTTTTAAGGGTCAGTTCACGCAAATAATAAAAAATATTTGCAGTGGTTTTGATATCTGAATGGGATTTATTTTGTGCTGACAGCTTTGAAAAATTACACTTGAAACAGTCAACAGTAACCAGGACATTGTTTCTGAGAAGACGTGTTGCTGTTTTCATGATGATGTAATTTTTCAGTGACATGAGCACAAATTCAATTCTTTTCACCTCAATTTGAAGTGCGGTGACAGCAGATATTTCACAAATAACATCAAAACTATCTCTTGACTAGATGCAAACGGGGGAAAATATTTATTTTTGTAATTTTAGACAGTTAATAGAACTTTCTGTTGTAGTCACTTATCATGAAACACTTCTATAAAGACTTTTATTGATTGTTTTAGATTTTAGAGGTGAAAAAAAATTGTTCATCAAGAGAAAAATAATCATCAACTATTTTGATTATCAATTAATAAGGCAAGAATGCCAAACATTCACTAGTTTTAGCTTCCAAATTTTGAGATTGGCCTCTTTGCTTTGTCTAATGTACAGTCAGCTAAATAACTTTAGGTTTTGGACTGTTGGTGGGGCAAAATAAGCATTTTAATACCAGTATTTTTCACAATTTTCTTTCTTAAAATAATTTAATCTTTAATAAAATGAATAACTAGTTGCAGCCCTACTTTATTTATGTCAAGTTTACAATTAGAAATCATATGCTTGTGTATATTCCTCATATGTGCATATTTACCCAAAAATACACGATCATATCAAAAAAGTTTGAATTTGTTTATGTCATCTTGTCCCTTTAGCTCGAGGCTGCCAAGAAGTCCTTTCACATGGCCTGCAAAGAGGAGAAGCTGGCGTCCACCAGAGAGGCCAACAGTAAGGGAGAGGCCTCTCTGACAGCTGATCAGCAGAAGAAACTCCATGAGAAAGTGGACAAGTGCAAACAGGACTCCCAGAAGGTGAGAGCATCAGCTGCTGCGGCTCTAACAGGCCTGCGGGATCATCATTATGCAAAAGTCTTTTCCACAATAAAGCCAAAAGCAAATCAGCTCACGGGCTATTTTAAGATGTAGAGCTGGTTTCTCTAGACCAAGCGTTATGAAGGCACTGTAGCCGTAGCCAGTGTAGCATTGTTAATGTGTGACTTAATACCACACCTCCCCCTCTATGTTTCTGCCTCATTACTCTAACATTAGTTGCGCTGTGCTCAAGTGAACTCTGGTCTCCTTTGACGGCCTTGACCTTCACACATCTGAACAATGATTCTGTCTTGTGCTTGAATACACATTTACTGTCCTTTCAACGCTAATATGATTCACATTTGACCGCAGAACTGAAAAACAGCAACATGTGGACGAGACATGTGTCATTAAGACATTACTCATCCCTGCATCAGTGAGGTATCGCTTAACATAATTTACTTCAGGCTGTTAAGAGTGTGTTGCTTGTGTGTGTGTGTTACTACCTAGGCAAAGGAGAAGTACGAGAAGGCTCTGGATGAGCTGAGTAAGTGCACTCCACAATACATGGAAAACATGGAGCAGGTGTTCGACCAGTGCCAGCAGTTTGAAGAGAAGAGGCTGAACTTCCTCAGGGAGGTGCTGTTGGACGTCAAACGCCACCTCAACCTCACAGAAGACCAAAGGTTTGAGACCTTTAATTAATATGACGAGACCCAGTCATCAGCTAATCATAACCCATGCACTAAGTCCCTGCTGTCTTGTCGCAGTTATGCTACAGTGTACGGCGAACTTGAACACACCATCACATCAGCCAGCGCGCAGGATGATCTGAAGTGGTTCAGCAACACCTACGGCCCCGGCATGCATATGAACTGGCCACAGTTTGAGGTACAGAAAGCTACAATTATCAGACATTATGTCATCACTGGAGACCTACTATATATACTGTCCAATCATTAAAGGAATAGTTTTAGATTTGAATACACATTTAAATCTAAAACAAACAAATCCCAAACGTGTTTTGTTTGATGTTTTGCAGGAATACAACCCAGACCTTACCCATAACATCTCTAAGAAAGAAAAGTCAAAGAAAGGCAGTGACGGAGTCATGCTGACTAACGTCACAACAGCAGTAGACCACGCTCAGTCTGGAGACCGGGGAAGGTGAGCTTAAACACCGATATATTTAATATTTTTAACCTCATTTTACAGATGCTTTTATTCATATCATCTAAATGTATGTTGTGATATTCCCAAGTCATCAGTTTATCTTTGCATCTGGTATAATCAGTGTCTTCCTTCATTGTATGTTGTGATAAATATTTAATACTTGTTGGTATTAATATCATTTTGTAAGTAATTTAGTTTTATAATAATAATAACGTACATAATATCGTCATTGTAACTACAACTACACAAATACAGCTGCTAGTTGTAGAAATAACAGTAAAAGTACCGTGATAGTAATAATAATGATCATAGTTATAGCAGCTATAGTACGAGCAGTGATAGAAACTACACACTAAAACAACATAAAACTTACACAGTGGCAGTGATAGTCACAGCAGAGGTAGCGTTAGAACATTGTGACATTTTGCTGGAAAGACTGAAAATGAATAATCTGCTGAAATGTGCAACGTTCAGTGTCAGCAGCTACGAAAAGAACCAGGCGTACACGGCTTCCACGGAGTGGTCGGACGAGGACCAGACAGCCCCGAACTCAGGCAACGACACCAACGGGGGGACGAACCCCTTTGACGAAGATGTGGGCAAAGGTGTGAGAGTGAGAGCGCTGTACGACTATGATGGCCAGGAGCAGGACGAGCTCACCTTCAAAGCAGGTGAGCGTGACTCCTGGTGACTCCTGGTGATTTTGCACTGTAAGTATGGCACATAACGCCAAAAGAGTGTCTGTAATCACATGAGCTCACCAAAGTGTTAAAATGGCAAAAATATTGAATCTTTGAATCAACAGACCTTTTCCACAGCGGCAGTAAACACAGGTGTTACCAATGATACTAATTAAGACTCAGTTCCATTTAGTGTAGCGGAGCTTTTGCAGCGAGCCAACATGCACAAGAGCTTCACCCTTAATTAGTATCGCGGGTAACACCTGTGTGGCACCAAAGTAATCCAGTAACAAACTTTTTGTCGTTAATGACCAGCGTAAGCAAATGCAGTCAGTGTGAGAAGAATAAACATCAAGCAGCACGAGTGAGCAACAAAAGCTGTGTACATGAGTTTTGAGTGTTATGAGTAAATATTAGGTTTAATCAATAAAAAACTTCTTTATGGTTATTATTGTGTTACCTTTAGACAGTCATGCTAGCTATTTCCACCTGTTTCAGTATTTATGCTAAGCTAAGCTAACCAACTGTTGGCTGTAGCCTCATATATAACGGACAGATATGAGAGCGGTGTCAATCGTCTCATCAAATCCTCTGCAAGGAAACAAATTCTATTCTTTCAATACATTAAATTGACCAAAAACAGACATTCCTGTCCACACAAGCTCCACACAGAAAGGCCCCAGTGTTTGATACTGAAAACATAGGTTTCACATAGTATTCCTTTAATGTTTCTGCAGATAGCTTTGGGATCCATGGTAACGTTTACTCTGTATTACTCTAATTAGAATTGTTTCACATAATGAACCTCCTGCTCTACACTTCTCTCTCCTCTCACTGATGAAGGGGATGAGCTGACGAAGCTGGAGGAGGAGGATGAGCAGGGCTGGTGTAAAGGTCGTCTAGACAACGGCCAGCTGGGTCTTTACCCGGCCAATTACGTGGAGCCGATCTAACTGTTCCAGCTGAGGACGCTTGGTGGGAAAACCCAGACTGAACCGTCCAGTCATAACTGCACATTGCCAGAGACTTGAAAGCAAAGCTTCTTCTTCCTGTCGGGCACAGTGAGCTGTCTTCATCTCAGCACTCATCACAGAGAACACTAAACTGAAACGAGATCTGTTTCGGGATCACGTCATCTCCAAAATACTGCAACTGAAGCTAAATATTTTAGTCTCTTTTGTGTGTAGCTGTGTTTGATTTCAGATGCGATGCTAACATGCCATACAGTATGTTCTCTCATCATAATATTGATATGGTATCCTCAGTTGTGCCTGGATAGCGAAATTGAGCTATGCATTGTGCATTTCATGTATATATTTTAATCTTTTTTTTTTTTTTTTTTTTTACAGTCTGGATGCTTGTACAGTTTTTTTTTCTCATTGGATAAAGTGTTTCTCTTTTCTTTGTGAAATATTTACGTGTCTAGCTTCAAAGGAATAGTTTGACATTTTGGGAAAGGTGCTTATTCCCTTTATTCTTGAGAGTCGGAGAAGGTCAATACCATTTTTATGTTTGTACAGTAAATATGCAGCCAGAGCTTAGCATAAAGACTGAAAATGGGGAGCTCTGTCTGAAGATAACAAAATCCAACAAGTGACGTCTTCGTTTAATCCTGAGAGAAAGACACAAGGCAAATATACAATGGCTCACTGTGTCACATTTAGAAACCCTCGGTTCAATACGTACAAAATTAAAGTGGAAGAACTAAATGCTGCAGTTTCGGAAATCATTGCCCCCGGGCCGAGGAAGAGTTGCAGCACAAACCCCCCCCCATAAAACCACAACTCGTCATCCATTGTCTGGATTAAACAAACTAGACACAAGACGTTATTCATTGAGCTTTCTTTAGAATTAGAGCCAACTAACTTCTGTCCTCCTGCTTTGTGTCTTTATGCTAAGCTCAGCTAACCAGCAGTTGGCTCTAGCTTCATATTTAGTGTAAAAGTGAGAGTGGTATCAATCTTCTCATCTAACTCTTGGCAACACAGCGAACGACCATATTTCCTAAAAAACGATTCCTTTAATGCATTTAGTTGTTTTCCTGCTGCACTCCACAGCGTGTCACTGAATTAGCATTTTGAAAGGAGATAAAAGTCACTGAGCAGAGCTTCTCTTTGAAATGGAAATATGTACTCACACCAAAACGTGCAAGGATTGTTTACATTAACCTCCGCTGTCCCACCTGTCCCTAACAAGGTGCCTGTTATAACTCTTACCCGTCATTTAGTTTCTCCTCCTCTTCTGTCTTTACATGCAGATTGTGTTAATAACGCAGGCTCCATGAACAAACTCACGGCTGTTTTTGTACGGAGATTAGCTTCATTTCACGACCAGGGTTGTATTTATTTTTTTAATTTCTGCAGTTAATGAGACTTGTCTGCTATGAGTGAATGTCAGTGACTCGGCATTATCAGCTTCCAGCTCTTATCTCTGTGGTTATATGCATGCTAATGCTCCCACACACTGTTTAACGCTCTGATCTGAACTGATCCAGTGCATGGCCTCAGTTTGTTTCCACCAAATTATTGACAGTTTCTTGATCGAATTAAAACTCTTATCGGGATGATAATGATGATAAATGCCATTGATTTGCATTGCATAACATAGCCAGTCCTCGATTGATCTATTTCAGTGTGTGTGTACCAAAAAACATACTGTATTAAATATCGGGTGTACACGTCTTCATAGTTAAACATTTTGTTTTAATCAGAAAATCTGAATCAAACTTTATACAAACACAAATTATGAGTGCATGTGGCAGTAGAGTACATGTTATATGAGATTGGTTTGTGAATCCTGGTTACCACAGGTGTTGTTGAAAACTACACCCTCATCGATGAGGAAGGCGGGTGTTCTCTTACTGACGCAGACAGAGAAAACTGCAACGAGCACTGCACAAGAAAGCAGAAAGAGGATCTCTCTCTGAAATATTGATGAGACAATTGCCTTTTCTGCTGCAAGATAGAGGTTTACTTTTTAAAAGGTCCGGGAGAGAAATGTCTCTTGTACTGTGTTTATGCTTCTGTGTGCTTTTTAAAAAGTGCTCCTTGTAAACTCTGGAGTGGTGAAATAAATATTGCCTTACTAAAATCTACCACCCTGCCACGCCAGAGACTCTCAACCGTCACATTTCAACAAAGTGAAAGAGAGCTCGCTTCCACAGAATCTGACTCCGGCTCCTCCGGCTCAGTTTACACTGACACCACACGCAGGCCCTCTTTGTCTGATTGAAGATTACATGAATTTGACGTCTTAACGTACTTTTAACTGCATTTGCAAACAGACTGGTGCTGTTAACGAGTGTACTGTAAAAGTGTGTGAAGCCACAACTGCAGCATCCACTGTAAAACTGAATCTGACGGTAAATCATATTGAAAAAAACAACAAACTTAAATGCTCCTTTTCTGTCTGTTGCTCATGCTTGAAACATTGATCTGCAATGTTGAGGAAAACTTTTTAGGGGGCTTTCTCTTTTTTTAGCATAGTGCTGTAATTTCAAAACTGTAGTGCCTGTTCATCTGCATAAGCAAAAATAAAAGATGTCATCAGAAAACTCATGTGAGGCACATATGAGACTCTGTGAAGTAGGATTTGATGTTTCAGCACAATACACCTGGTTTCATACTACTGAAACACACAAAGTTGTGACTGCTGCGCGTAATAATTTATAATGTGGTGAAATTGAGTTTTAAAAAAACAGTTGTGTAATAAGTATTCAGATTACTTCAGTAAATTTAGCACCACACTGTAAAAATACTATAGATTATTATATATATATAGAGAGAGAGAGAAAATCTTTTTTTAGTCTTTGTTAGCAGATCAGCAATGATAAGCTATAGATGGTGGTACAGAGAAAGGCTATACCATAATTAGCTAATAAAAAGACTTTGATTAGATTGGACGAATTAAGACAATTTTAATGTAAATAAATACAGTCGTGTAAAGCCCAAAAGAGTTTGCCGTTAACACAGATAATAAAGTACATTAAATAAAATAGTAGTTAAAGTATAACTACTTCAAAATTGTATTTAAGTACAGTACTTGAGTGAGTGTACTTAGTTACTGTTGTTCAGGGTGTGTCACTACTGAGTCACTGGGGAAATGGTTTTGTACTGGAAAGCAAAAGTCTGACTTTTTGGGCTGTCAAAAAGTCTGAGTACATATAAATGTCCCTTTCCTAAATGAAAAAAATAATCACAATGTTCAGTTTTAGTAATGCGCATGAATTCAAAACAGAAGGTTTATAGCTTTATTTAGCTCAGGGCGCAATTCTAACAATAATAATAAATGATGTCAAAGCAGCAGCTCTGTCTTCCCAGACAGCTGACATGTCTGAAGATCTAAAGCGAGTGGTGCCCCCTTTAAATGAATTTGAACAAAGTATTTAATGTCGACGGTCTGAGCTTCCTCACCTTTAATCTAGTCTGAGAAAGACTTAACTTAAGGTTAACTCTGTGTCTCCCATCTGCTGTGGCCTCCTGGGTTTTAGTTTATAGACTAGAGTCTGCCACTAGAGGTCAGTAGAAACCAGATTCAGCTCATTGTCAGGCAGTCGTTCACAGATGTGTCACACTAATCATCATGTTGTGAGTCAGATAACCACAAACACCCATAATTCTTCACAATCAGTTCGATCAACGAACCTGCTGCTGGTTTATAGACCAAAATTCCCATAGTGCCACAGCAGGAAATAGAGTGTAATGCCTGAATGAACATTTGTTCAATTATACAGATCGCTAGTGATGACGTTTGTCAATAATATTTGTTGATATTTTGGTATTTTTATTTCCTTTCTAGTACAAACCTCACACAACATATAGTTAAAGTCTTGAAAAACAAACATATAACTGTTATATAGCAGCTATTTGCTTTCCTAAGTACATTTTGCCGTTGGGTGGTGTATATATTTCTTTACCCCACTGACAACTGGCCAAACACTGACACTGACATCTTGGTGACAGTTCGAGCTGCTACTACAAATAATTACTACATTTTTTGATCTTATTTTTATTTATTTTTTTTACCTTTTTGACCCTATAAACTCTCCACAGTACCACATATGAAAGTGGCCTAAATTTGAACTGAAAAGATCAGATTCCATGTGATTTGTGCTGTTCACACTGTCATGAAAAAACTGATATATGAGCAAATAAAATCTGATTTGGGTCACTTTGACCTGCAGTCTGAATAACAAATCACATTTAAGTCAGATTTTTTGCAGTGTGACCTCAGTGTGAACACTCATCTAAGAAATGATGACTTTTATATCACTCTAGATCAACATTTGTAACGCCAGTCCCTTCAGGACCGTGGACACTGGAATCTGATTACACCCCACATTTAAAAAAAACAATGTCAACAGCAAAAACAAAGAAAATCAGCTTTCAGTGGATAACTGGCTCGCAGTGATAACCTAGCCGTAAGTTCAAGGAAAAAAGACAAATAAACCTATTTATTGATTTCTAATGCCTCCTTTAGATCTTTCTATCCAATTCTTTGCTAATGCACCACAATGATGTACTGTTTAGAGTTCAAATATCTTCATTTAAGAGCCTTTCCAAGCAAATACTGATATATGTGGTTATAAGCGATTAAATCAGCACATACTTCTGCAACCCCTTAAAGTTTCCACACCAACTTCTTTCCACCCCATGAATATTCCTCTAGATCCTGTCTAAAGCATCAAATAGGGTCCTTTCTAGACACGTGATTTTATCACAGTTTAAGAAGATTTATTGCTGAAGAAGCAAAAATAACAGCTTTTTCAGCTAAAGTTGCGTAACCAGTCAGAAGGTGTAATTAAAGCAATGCTGATTTCAAAAGGAACTTCGGAGTCCAAGTCGGCATAAATAAGAAGAAATGAAGAAATGGAAAAACGGTAAAATGAAATTACTGTAATTAATAATATTTTAAATGCTTTCTGGATAGATTTCGTGTGATAATATTTGCAGGTGCCACTCCCTACAGGAAGAGTTTGGGTGTTGGAGGGCGGGTGTTGAATTAAAACGGTTGTTGGCAGTGGTGAGGGACCGGTGAGGCCTATTAATACATTCTGCCCACAGTCCTTATAACTCCTTGTTTATTCTACAGGTCTATAATTCCCTGGAGCATAACCCATTTCTCGTTGTATCACCATGGTGCTAATAACTAAGATAATCATATAGATATCACACTGTCATATCTTTTTGTCTAAAGACTGACATTGTAACATCCCCTTGATCCTTTTAATCCCCGTAGGAAATTAAAAAAAACCCACACAGCAGGGACTACTATAGCTCAAGGCCACATTTTCTTGGCAGACAAACTCTTTCTGGCTCACTTCATAGAAATAATATTAATGACACAATTAGACAGCACTTTACGGTCTTTATGAAAGAAAGAACAGTTAAGAACAGAGAAGAAAAGATAAAATGTCAACAAAGATCTGAATTAGAAACGAACACGTAGTGAAAAGTAATTATTATTTAGAATTGCAAAGTAATCATCAAACGATTGTTGAGCCTTCCAATAACTGTTAGGTTTAGCCTGCAAAGTACATGTGAATTAACAAACCCTTTATTAGTTAGAGACACCATACAGATCCATGTTCATTTTAAAAATAAAGTTTATTGAGCCCTGTTTGAAGCTTGGATATCCTATCCTTGCTCAGGCAGACATTAAGCACTGTAGTAAGAACTGAGTGTAAAATACGCAGCCCCAAAGTTTTAAAATTAATTACATTTAAAGAATATGAAATAAATATTCATGTAAATAAATGCAGACAAAAATACATGACAAACAAATTGTGAAATAATCAAATAAAATCTGGAGTGAAATTATATTTCAACCAGCTTCCTTTCAAAATAAAAGAGTTTATCACAGGTAATGTTTATTCAATTCCAGCACTTTTTTCTGTCCTGTTTTTTCTTGGTTGAAAGACTTTAAGTGACGATGATGATGAGCAGAGTTTAAGAGTCTTCTGTAACGTAAAGGGCTGGAAGGAGAATTGCCACAGTGGTGCTTTGAGCTAAATGCTACTATCGACAAGCTAATATGCTAAAGTATAGCAGGTATGATGTTTCCAATGTTCACCATCTTAGTTTATTGTGTTGACATGGTAACATTCACAAATTAGCACAAAGTAGAGCTGAGGCTGTTGGGAATATTATTAGATTTGCAGCCAAACTTAAATATTGACCTGGTGATGGTACTAGATGAAACATTAAGGGATCATAAAAGTTCTAACAACTCATCCAGAGGAGGGGGACGAGCCACTCTGCTGACACAGCTAAAAACTGCATTTAATTGTTTTACACTTTCATGGTTATATAATACATTTTGTCTGAATTTACTTATATGATTATTTATTTTACATCTGTTTAATTTATTTGTAACACTTTGGGTCTCCACATTAAAACACCCACAACATGAAATGCAAGATATTGTACAGCAGTACAAACCGCAGTTGTCAGCATAAAGTATATATATATATAAAGCAGGGCTTCTCAGCAACAATATTAAAGGAATGCATCACTCTTTACCAAGTTACACTTTAGAAAATCACATTTAGTAAATGGCATTATCAATACAGTCACAGAAGGGTTTAAGGGTCCTCCAAGGGCTTGAAACCAGATTCAGCAAACTACTAAAGTCTGCTTGTCTGCACCTTGCAGATAACAGACTGGCTGACTGTGTATATAACAGCCAGGACCAAAGCCAAAAAAGAAGCAAAACAATCCTAGCCACATTTTCAGCTATGGCAGGGAAACCGGCTCTAATTCAAACAGAGACAGTGGTCAAGATGAGCGAAACAAAAAGACAAAGCAAATGTAGCTGTGCGTGGGCGATGGGCGTTTTCCTGAAGCCTGTACGTAAGAGCGATCAGCTCTAACTGTTTGGGGTAATGGAGCTAATGATAATTAAGAATCACATTATGGAAAAATAAACAGGCAGATCATGCAAATGACAAGGCAGTTCATTTACTAATTTCTTTTTTCTTCTGTTTTTAATGTGTTGTTGTTTCATTCTGCAGCAGGAAAAAAGCCTCAACAGCCACATTGTTTTGCCTCTTCTTCTCGGTCCATGCACAGATAAGCCTTCATGCAGCAGCTGCCAGCTGTTGTTTCAGTGTTGGCAGTGGAAGTGTGTACCATTGGGGTTGGTCAGTGCACGTGTTCCATGTCACCTTTTCATCTCAGGCTTAGGTGTTCAAGTGTATGGCGGTAAGACAGCGTGTCCTTTTTGTTTGTCCTCCTCCCACTATGTTGTGCCTCATACTGGGTGAACAAACTGGTACACCAGTCTCTGAGACACGTCAGGCTTGCGGATGATGCCCTTCTTGTAGTATTGACGTATGGAGCGGCTCAGCTTGTCATAGTTCATGGCAGGTCGATTCTTTCGGAGTCCCCACAGTCTCGCAACGTGAGCGGAGTCTTCGATTTTAAAAATACCTGGTAGGAATCACAAGAGATTTGATCATTGAAACGGCATGCCACAAAATAAACATAACAGCAGGTACATGTGGCCATATGTAAAAAATAAAGAGCAATGTCAGTCTTTCACTCACTCACATATTTATGTTTTTCCTTTGAGATTACAATCTTTTTTTCTAAAGTGACCTGACCTGGAGGAAGGCATTACATATATTTATATATATACTTTTATTACAAAGAAAAAGCATGAACAAAATTATTTTAGAGACAAAATTATATTAGAATTTCTAGGAAAGTCTAAGTTTTTTCTCTCCTGCTTTGCTGTAAAATTACATTTTGAGTTTTGGGAGCCTTTGAAACTGGAGTTAAACTGTTTAACATATTAATTAGTGCTTATGAGATATAATAATTACAGTTTAAATTGAAGCACTGAAATCAGTTGAAGCGTAAGCATGTAAAGAAGTTGTAGGAGATGAAGTAGTCAAGAAGTTTGTCAAGTGAAAGCAGATGAAATAAGTAGTTCTGAAACTGGCTGAAGTATAAGTTGGGGTAAAATAGCTCAAAGCTGCTGAGGTTAAAATTTGTGTAAGCATTGATAGGAGTTTTGATCTCGGTTGAACTGTAGGTTGAGTAAGAGCTGAAAGCAGTTGAATTGACCCTTCCGAAGTCCCACCCCTTTTTGCTTTGGGCTCCAATAACAGTCGAGCAAGCCTCAGTCAGAACCTCGGTCAACTTTCTCTTTCCTTTACTTAGATAATATGAACAAGATTCCAAAAGGAGCAGGAGATAGGAAGGGTTACTAGTACAATAAATTATAAAATATATATTATTTAATTGTCACATTTTTTTCTTTACAACATGTAAAAAAATAAAAAATAAATAATTTTTTAAAGTTTAAGAGTGAGAGTGAGGAGTACTTTTGGATGTCTAAATGGAGCTGCATAACTATACTGTAGAATTAAAGTAATGAAGATACCTTTTTCTTTATTGAGCCAGCGGATGCAGCGTCCATAGTTGTGAGGTTTAAGCAGGAGTTCTCTGAGGAACTGCCACAGATGAATGGGCTGACCTGAACAAGACGAATCTGCCTCGGACCAAAGTTCCTCGCCACCTTAACAACAGCAACAAAAACAATGACAACATTCAGACCTTAAAGCCACAGCGTAGTGATTCAAGCACACACATTCCTCAAAGCCCAAAAGATTACCAGATTAACCAGGACACATAGAGATATGCAAAGCAGGTGACTGCTTTGCATGAAAGCCAAAATCTCTACTGAACTCTATTAAGTTCTGTAGTCAAGGTGTGTAAATGTCCATAACAGTTAATTTTGCCTATTTCTGTTCAAAGTTAATTTTTTTTATTCAATACTGCTCAATATGGTCTTTAAATGACAGGAAACCAAACCTACCTGCAGTTTTTGTATCTCCAACTGAACACCGCTCTTTCATCCAGGCAGCTGGAGACGAAGAGACATTACATTTAAAAAAAGTTTTACTTTCAATTAATTGAATGCTTATGTCTCTTCACTCTTTTACTATTTCATTGTTACATGTTTCCTCATCCAACACCAATGCTCCAAGAAAGCATGTCATTTGCAAGGCAAATTGGTGATTTTGGGCAATATAATGGCTTGACTTGACTACCTCCATCCACTCATGCTGTACATACACACACAAACACGCTGTACAGCTAAACTTTGGACAATACAATCACCACAGGAGCTGCAGCCGGCTATGATGAGCTTGTTAAATAAATAAATGTCAATCACACACCTGACTTCCATATGTCCAGGTGTGCATGCAGCGTGTCTCCACACTGTGGTGAGCGCTGGCGAAATTCCTCCTCGCTCATGGCACACAGGTCCTTTCCTGTCAAGTCCTGGTAGGCTTTTCCTGCATGTGGCAACCTGTACAAATGTTCGGTCCACAGCAGCCACTTCTGGACATTCCCCGTGTTCCACTCTATAGGGTCTACGAAACAGAGAAAGATAGGAAATCAGTGAGAAAACTCCCAGCTGTCCCTGCAGTAAATTACGGGGGATATTCATCCAATAAGATTTAAGTAACTATTCAGTCAAGTTAAGTCAGTTTAAATTCCATTTCTTTTGACTGTGTATAATATTATGGTACTTCTACACATAATAATTTCACAGAAACAACAAGGTGATCACCCTTTTATGCTGCTACACTTCTAATCAGTAGAACAGATGACAGGTTTATGACAGCCAGAAGCCTTACAATACATAATGCGTTCTCTGTTTGCTTTGCGAGCAGGAGAGACCTCGCCCTTAAGACTGTGTACACATCTAATGTCAGGAAAGAACCATCACTGTCACAATCCAAGAGAACTCATGCAAAGGTCAGGATTAAACAGATCCTGGAGCAGGCAAACATGGCTATGAGTCAGTATGGATATGATTTAAGAGATCTGTCATCTTTCCTGGGCTATCCATACAAATATGTGTTGATTTTGGGAGCAAGATCCAGTAGCTTGAATATAGCTGACTCAATTTCTTTACCTGCAAATAACGGGCACTTTTTTGTGCCATGAAAAATGTCTTGTGTACTTTGTACTGCTTGTGTTTCTTTGTCAGTTAAATGTCTCTGTAACAGCCCTCTTGAAGATGACAAACTGCAATAGCAAGTGAGGTGGAAGGCAGCCTACCTGGGGTGATATTGAGCAGTTTGCAGGCAGTTTCAATGTCCTTCAGCACTTCTCCCACCACCATGCTCTGCACTTGCTCCAGAGAACGCTCCTCCTCCTGGCCCTCCAGCACAGGAGAGAGTCCCTGTTCCTGGCTGTCAATGACTGGGCACTGCTCTGGTTCCTCCTGCTGCTCCATGCGAGTCATGGGTACAGCCAGCGTTGGGGAGGCCTCTGAAACTTTCACCAGCCAGGTGGCGTCTTCAGTGAGGAGCATGTCGAAGCAGGAGAGGTAGAGGCCCGGTATGCCCCGCTCAAGGGCTTCCACACTTGGTTTGGTCTCTACCATGTCCCAGGGTTCTCCAGAGCCTCTGTTTCGCTCCAAGATGGCGAGGGGGTCCTCTGTCATCCCGATCCTGGATCCATACACTGTGTCTTCTGATAAACTGCCCACTGGATTTTGCATAACTGTTACTGGAGAACACAAGGAAAACCAAATTTAGACTTCATATATCTGACCTGTTATTTGCTCATGAACTAAGTGTCTTGTAAAGGTTTTAAAATACTCTTTCAGCATTGCAAAATGTTTTTTAAAAAATGTGCTAATTATTCTGAATAGTGTGAAATCAAAAGGTTCAACAGATCTGCCTGTAACTTAAAAACACTTCAAAAAATGAAAACAGATGTTTTGAAAGTGAATATATAATTTCAATCTGCATTTGTCAGGAGTTTTATAAATAATAATCCTGTATGAGATTAAGTTCAGCATCACTTCCATTGAAATAATTCAAGTCAAAAAGACAATACCTTCTCCAACAGCTCCTTTCTTGCTATTCTCTGGCTGCTTAACAAGCAATTGTTTTTGTTAAGTTAGAAACTCCATCAAAGCAGCTGCTGGTAAGAATCTCTTTTCGTAATATGTTATGAGCAGAACTGAGGTGAGTGCTGGTCGATCCTCTATAAGAACCCAGATTCTAATGGAGATACCAGGGAAATGACCCTCAAGAGAGTTAAAACACACACAGCGCTGATAGGCATGGGGCAAAATGGATTTGACTGAGACTCTTATTTGTGGGTCAGTGGCCCAGAATGGTTGATGTCCTGGGGGTAGGTGACTTGTATTAAGACCTGAAGCAGCTCTGCCGCCTGCCTCGGCTTTCAAGGTGCCGTCTCTGCAGCCCTCTGTCTCCACTGTCAGCTGGAGTTTTTAATCAAGTTAGATAATGTGGAGAAGAGCGTGCATAAAACCACGTTTGAAAACAACCAGGGTGTTTTATGAAGTCTCGACTGATAGCTGCGACAGGAAATTGCCATCATAAGTGTTCATTTATGGACGTCAGCTGTAGCACAAGTGTTGCAATCTCAGGGTGAACTCGCATATGGCACCATAATGTGTAGCTGCCACAGCTGGCATATGGGAAGGCACACCGCCGTCACACACCAGGTTATCAGTGGTTGTGGCCGATGCCACAGTAAAGGAAGTGTGCTCCCACAGAGCACATGTTCAATGAGAGGAATGGCTTTATTTGTCAAGACACAAAGAAATTAAAGTCTCATAAAAGTTGCAGAATTATGTAGAACACCCATCAACCAAAATCATGTGTTAGGGCAGAGCTTTAAACAAATCCAGGTGATGTTAAACCTTTTCCTAATTGAGAAAAATGCCCACACACTGATAAAAAACAGAAGAGGCTCTTAAGATGGAAAAATAATCACTTTATTCCATCTGCAAAATGTGCAAAATCTGCCAGAAAAGAAAATTTTCCTGTAATGTTCAGCTCATTTTTTTGTTGCAAGTTTTTACTTTATTTACATTTTGTACAGAAAAATAAATGAATACTTTTAGCATTTTTTTGTCACATTTTTTCTTTCAATTTTGCACACACCTCACACAACCTCTTGTAAAGCCTGGAAGTGCAAAACCTTTGACATGATTATTTTCTTTTTTTCGTATAGTCACCCTTTCTCTTTAACCAGACTTCCCCAAAGTTAAATGAAGACTTCTTCCCCGCCGCTAAAAAATATTTAGCGGCGGGTCCCCTGCCCCCCACTGTAAAACCTCCTCCCGAGTCGTCCTTTTATCTCCAAATTTCTCGTAAACTATAACCCACAATCCCTTTCACTCCATCAGGAGTCAGATTAAAAGCCACTGGTATCCCAGCCTGGCTGCTGCGTGTCAGCGCTGCTCTGTAACAGCTTGCGCTAAGCCCATTAGCAAAGCAAATTTAGCCATATTACCTTCTTCCAAAAGGAAGAGGGGGCACAAGAAAAAGACACAAACACACACCCCTGTGGAGAGGGATTAAGATTCTGACTGATCTCTAAATGAGTTTGGTCAAGACGCTGATATTCATTTCAGGAGCATTAGAGCTTGCTCCATTTACTCTGCAAAGTCAGCCTTTGACACCGACGGAAAAGGACTCCCTCCATGCAGGCGTCCACCCTGGGAACCATATTTCTTCTACATGCTTGGTCTCATTTAACATGAAGAAGATGATTATTTGAGGTGAGGTTTGTATCATCACCTTGGATTTTATATGATTATAGTTTTGTCACTGGAAGTATGTTTTTTTCTGCAAAAAAATAAAAACAAAATAAACAAAACTGACCAAAGAGCAACCTGTGAGTTATATTTGCACTGAAAAAGATCCAAAAGAAACATCTGACTGGGATCAAAATGTTAATGTCAATTAAAATCAATTTGTGGGTTGGAGTTCCTGTACAGGTATTACTCTTTTCATTCTGGTTTCCAGTAGCCTTTCACCTACATATGTTGTGTGTATAACAACCTACGTCCAAACCTCTTGAAATGAAAGCTGCAGACCAACACAACCAATCTGGCCTGAAATGAACCTTTTAGCCCATTTATCATTGTTGCTGAAACAGTTATGTGACAGAAGTCGGCTAAGTGTTTAGATTAAAGTTAATGATTAAAACAAGGGTTAAACAAGTGTGTTTAACCCTTCATGATTCAGTCTGAGGTAAAAAAAGAAAAGGTTGTCTGTGAGATTTCAGAACATATATTTAATAGGGACCAAAATGTGGATTGTGAATTTGGCTCATCACACACACACACACACACACACACACACACACACACACACACACACACACACACACACACACACACACACACACACACACACACACACACACACACACACGCACGCACGCACAAAGTCTGCGTTGTTTGAGTCTAGAGTGTGTACAGCCAGGCGTGACTGTTTGCCATGTGTGCGTTAAAGGGAGATTTTTTTGTGTCTCATGGGAAAGTTGGACCAACTAAGGAAGTCATTGTTCCGAGAACAAGGAAAAAGAAGGAGTTTCATCTCGTGCTCCTTGCTCAATGTGACTGTTGCTGGAAAGAAAGCCTGCATGCTGGAAGAAGTTTTTATGGTAACAGGGGCAGGTGCTCTTTTCACATTATACATAAGGGTTAGGTGTAGACAATTTTAAGGTTGTATGCCTGTTTTATGAATTGCAAATAAAGGCAGATTTGTGGCAGTGGCTCCTATTTTTATCACTTTTTACAATACTTGCAGTTTACAGCCCCCTATTTTCTTTATCAGAGGTGGGAAGTAACAAAGTAGAAATACTTTCTTACTGTACTTTACTGTTTTTCAGGTATCTGTGCTTTACTTGAGTATTTATTTTTCTGACAACTTTTTACTTTTACCCCCTACATTTCTACAAACATCTCTGCACTTTCTTCTCCTTACATTTTCAAAACACGCCCTCCCAACATCGAGCCTGGTGCATGTGACGCATGACAGACATAATGTGAGAACCTCGACCCCAATTGGAGTTTCAGTCTGCACAGAAACAGCCAGTAGAAAAGTCCTTCAGAGAAACCAAAAGAGTACCTTCTATTTTCATACTTTGAGTACATTTCAGTATCTGTAGTATATGTACTTCTACTTGTAAAGTAGTGTAGTAAAGAATATGTGTACATTTGCCTCCTCTGCATTGTATTATACTCTTGTACTTCTACTCTTTTTCTGTCCCTGGGTGGGTTGGATTAACTGCCGGTGGGGGATGTTGCCGCACTTGGTGATTCACTTTTACTGTTAGTCAGGTGCCTTGGCATTAGGCCAAACAATTGCTGGTAGAAATATATTTTGCGGAGGGCTGTATTTACAGTTAATGATGCTGATAATAAACTGAGATTGGATCTGGAGATTGGAGGTGTGGCACGGATGGTTAGAGAAATTAACTTGTCACCAGTTTTTGCAGATAATTGAAGAGATAGTGAAGATATGGAGACTTTTGCCATGAGGCCTAAGGCATGTGCTGTTGCAGCTGAATTTGATTGTCAAAAGATCAGAAAGAGCAGGTTTTAATAGCGGTTTTAAAAGCTACAGTAAGAAAATGTGGTATAATCAGCCTATGGGCAACAGCAGTGTGGCAATGTAGATAAATGGGACAGAAAACTACTTCAGTACTTCCACTACTTCATTTCCGGCTTAATCGTGTACCGACACACATAAAGTCAATTTTACTTGTTTTTTTTTTTTTTTACATTTTCTCAATTTGTGCATAAAACACTTGAATGGAAATGCTGAAAATGTGCAAGAAAAAGTTTGACTGAAGTAGAGAAAAACCTGGTGCATCAGTAAAAGAAAAAAGTGCAACAGGAACAGACTTTGGATAAAAATCTGACAAATAATGGCGTAAATGAAGCACGTTACCTAAACATCCACTGAAGACATCAGATATGTGCAAAAGGAGACTCGAAGAGCTTCGTTAACCTCTTCCCCCCCATAACTTTCACACCACTTTTATGGTTGGCCAGCTGTGCAGAGGCGAGAGAGGAGCCAACTATTCCCATAATTTTTCATGTAAACAACTGAGTGTGACACCATGGATGCCTTAAAGGAGAAACTGTCTGAAAATGTGGGCCATTCTTACTTTTAAATTTCCGCCATGGTCAGACATGTTGTATGAGTGAGTGAGTCCTAAACTACAAATACACAGTAAATTCTTAAACAGTAGCATTTTCACTAGAGTGGACTACATATCGTATACAACCTCAATGAACTGAGTTAGGGACAGCACAAAATAAAGATTGAGCCCAATTATATTTTTTGAAGGGAGGGGGGATCTAACTTTCTTGAGAGAGCAGGGGAGGGTCTTTAAGGTTTAGCTAGCTTTAGTTCCACCTGTACCTACAACAGTCTGATGAAGACGAGGCTAGTTAGGATAAAGCAAACACATCAAACCAGAGTCTATGTATTTTAACTTCCTTGAAAAGCACTCTATAAATAGAATATATTGTTATTATTATTATTATTATTATTATTAGAGTCAACATCATTGAGGAACTGAGAGACAGGTCTTGTTTTGGGTGGAATTTGTCATTTTCCTGAACTACAGTCTGCAGGACTCTGTATGAATGAGACAGGAGATAGTTAGTTTAGCGTTGATGGCGAGTGTTTGTGTGTTAGGGGAGTGGCTACGGTTAGATATCAGATGGATACTTTAGTTCTTACTAGTTTCTTCAACATTATCTACCCTAGCGAGGGTTCCAAAAAAGAAATGAGAGGGCAGCAGCAATATTTAGCATACTCATACTATTAAAATCCCTTGTAAATCTGTCATCTTAACACAAGCAACAGTCATGATGTGGAGTAATGATGTAGATTAACTTTACATGAATAACAGGATTAAAACACACCTGCAACCACAGAAACAAAGAGAAAGTTCTGTAATTTCTTCCCTATTATAGTCCCGTCGTGGGGAACAGCCGTTGTATTTAATTTACATCTCTAATCAAACTCAAAATCACTCATCAATCTGTCTTATCCTAGACAGGAGGAACACTTTTATTTTGACTATGTCAGCCTATCGTTGTGGTTTTTGGCATCAACTCACCAACAACCCCCTCTAGACAACGTTTATCTGACCACATTTTGCTTTTTATCTTACTGTGTGAGAGCTAATATGCAGTTGGACAAGAAAAACAGGTAAGCATGACTAAGATAAAGAGCAAATACAAAGACAAGAAAACAAAAAGGATTAGGTAAATTAATGAGATAACAGTTTTTCGTCCTTTTTCCATCCCTCATTTTCCCCTCTTCTAGATGTTCAAGCTTTCAGTGTATAAATCTTTAGGCAGTACATTATTTAGCCTGATCTACCTTATTTTTTTCCCAGTTCATAGTCGTCAACTTACCAGTGATATTAAGAGAATGATGATGAAGACTGCTAAACCTAAAGATATTTACCAACCAGTGTTTTTTCCTTTATTTTTAACTAACTGCCACAGCTTCAAGGGTGTTCACGGGTTAGTTAATAATAAATAACAATAAATGACTTCTCTAGATTATATTAATCCTCTACCAGGTAGATTGCACATAAGATGCACTTTATTTCCTCTATCAGATGAGATAATATCAGCATCAGTGACAGACAGGGTGGACAACTTAAATTTCCCAGTAACTTATGAAAAGTAGAAAATTAGATGATTTCCAGGCGACCAAACAACTAGTATCACACAAATTCTCCTCAAACAATTAAAAGTAAAGTGAACAAGGAAATAAAACATGTTTTTTTTTTTTGGCACACATGACATAGTTAGGACATTGTGGAAGGTTAATGTCTTCTTACCGAGGCAAAGATGCTCAGAGGCAAAACCTTGACTGGATGGTAGCAGATGCAGTGCAGCTCTGGTTCTGTTGAAGGATGAAGGCTGGCCTGTTGTCCCGGTGCTGACCAAAGGCTCAGCTCAGACGGGATGCCCTGGGCCCTACCTGAGGGCAGAGGTGCAGCAATCTGTTTCCCCCCTCGATGATTGTCTCAGAGCCCCCAGCTTGAGGCCTCGGACCCTCCTAGGCTCTGTGGTGCAGTTTAAGCTTAACCTGAAAGTCAGAGCCTAGAGCACAACTGCAAACTAAACCTCAAGTGAAAGCACCTGCTGGGGGTGTGTACAAAGTGAGGAGAGAGGGCAAGTGACTGGATGAGTGAGTGCAAAGGAATTCCAGCACCATTGACTGCAATTTGTATTTATAGGGCAGTCATGTTTACTTAGGCACACAACCTTGTGTGTGTGTGTGTGTGTGTGTGTGTGTGTGTGTGTGTGTGTGGGTGTGTGGGTGTGTGTGTGTGTGTGTGTCTGAAGGACCAATGTCTTGCAGATTAGCTCAGACCTCCTCAAACACTACTAGTTGACCTCAGTGCTTAGGTGACAGACAATTCAAAGTGATAAAAGACTAAAGAGTGTCGCTTTGAAAAAAATGTTCTAAGAAAATAAAGTAGTGGAATGTAACTGAGTACATTTAGTCAAGTGCGGCACTTAAGTCCAAATTTGAGGTGAGTATTATCATTTTATGCTCATTAAAGTACTCCTCTTGACAGCTATAGCTACTATTTCTCTGATTAAGGTTCACAGATTTTATGAAATACAATTCATTATTAAATTACAGATAAAGATTAAACTATTATTGCAACAGTTTTAGCTCAAGACACTTGAGACCCCAATGAGTTCCGATGTCAATGAGCTGTTAAAAACAAATCCTCTATAAAGTTCTCACATGGTTTCATTTCAATAATAGTTAGAGACGCAAAGAGGTAAAATTATTTCATAAAAAACAGCAAATATTAGAGAAAAGTCCAAAATATGAATACAGATTAGTGCTGTATGATTCATCGAAATATTATCAAACTGCAATATCCAAATCACAGAAGCTGCAATGTTTTTTGATTATGGTAAAATGTGTGACAGACAACATTATAATGAAGTTGTGCTACAGAGAAGCTCTGGCCAACAAATGTTGTTCTCCAGATGTATGTAAGATAACATGTTTGTTTGGTCAGTAGGATTTTAACAGTTTTTTCAGTGAAAATGAAGATTGTGATGCAAAAATGATAATTACAACACTAATCGTGAGTCATATCACAATCGTAATATCTGTCAAAATACAGATTTAAGAGTGAGTTGGGAACCACAGAACTAAACTAATATAGAGTAGTTAAAACTAGCCACAACTCGGCCAACTACGAGTAAAATGCTACTTGTTAGTTTGTTTGTTTGTTTATATTTATCTCCAACATGACGAAAAAAGACAAAAACCTTATGAAAATTATTACTGAACAAAATCATATTTAAATGAAATAAAACCTAAACACAAACTCAATAAATAAATCCTCATAAACAAATTAAATCTTACATGTTGGAAAATGAGTAATTTATTCCTATCCCTTCTCCACCACTTACACACTTACTTACTTAACATTTAATTACATATATACATACACATATATGTACACACACAACGGTACATATATGTGTTAATGCATCAGTATTTTAATCTAATGTCATACAGTATATATTTGCCACTGGGGCCATTTTTGATGATACCTTACACTACTTAAGTAGGATTTTGAATGTTATATGTAATTGAGTATTTGTGTTACTGTTACTTTTAGTTAAATAAGGGATCTGAGTGCTTCTTCCACCACTGTCCAGGTTTAAATCTGCACTGTTTGTTGACTTTGTGGAGTTTATGTTCTATTTCACTCAAGGCCCTGGTTTCACAGTCCAGAGTCAGACTCAGGTGACCTGCAGCTAACAAATAAATGGCTGGAGATTCTGCTCAGACAACATTTGAAAGATAAAAATGAATCTGCACTTAAGATATTTATATTTGATTAGAAAACCGTAAAAGAAAATGTGGTTAAAACACAGCTGAAAAAAAGTATTCAGTACCTTTACTTAGGTAGATCAAGACTGAAAACATGGCATATATAAACTGAAATCATTATTGGTCATTGTAATTGTAAGAGATTTCAGTGTGAGTGATCAGGGACATGAGGAGTGTGTGTGTTATCGAGGCTGGGAAGGTTACTTTCAAAATGTAATCCGATACAGTTAATTATAACCTGTTTAAAAATGTAGTCGGTAACCTAATGCAAGTATTACAATATTAATATAACGTAACTTGATTACTGTCTTTTACCCACCAACTCCAAATATGCAAATAAAGACAAGAGAAAAATGTCAATAAGAAGAATTGATGCAAGCGTATTGTATAAGACAACAGAACAATGTAACCTTTGAGAAGAAAATGAAAAAATGTTTCCTCTGCTCAGTGTATTTTTTTTAAAAAAGCTGATGTATTTTAAAATTGTAATCCTGCTAAATAATCCCAATTTTTACTAATTGTAACTGTAATCTTATTATGTCTTTTTTTTCTGTATCTGTAATAGATTAAAATTAGCCTTTTTTTCTATCCTGATTATGTAACTCAGTTAAATGTAAGCCGTTACTCCCCAAGCCTGCTCATTATATGTGAAAAATAGTTAATATGAAACTTCAGCAGTCTGACTTAGACAAATAGAGCCGGTATTATCAAAAGTCTTTAACTATTTTATTTTAATTTGACCAGGATCGTTCCAGGGAGGTCTGCAGGCCAAGTCTAATTACCTGGAATAAAGAAAAACACCTGTGTGGGTGTGCCAGGTTTATAACAATGTAGCTGATGGAGGTGGAGATCATTTTAACTGCTTTATATACTGTCAGTACTTTATAGCAACACATTATGTGTCATAAATATATATTTTTTATGTAAAATCTATGTAAATACTAGGTTAATTAAAGCCTAGCTGAGCAAAAAGTATTGCATTATTCAAATTAAAGCACCTTAAAACTTGCGCTTAAAGGTTAAATGTATGCTACTTTCCACTACTGGTAAGTTGTTAATTTCCCTACACCAAAGTGTGTGCCTTTCAACTGCATAGGTGATTTCATTGCCAACAATAACAACTACTAGAGATCTCTATCACTTAAATATACTTTTGAATATTGACTTTAATAAAGACAGAGAAACTGTCGTCAGCACCACATCTGACCTCTGAAATTAGTATTTGTGTTCAATCAGTGAATCTTTACCAGAAATGCTGTAATGCTGTTTGCTCTTTGCAAAGTGATGCATTGTAATGAAAAACTGTTCCCGTTAGAGGGACGCTTTGCGTAACTTAAGCCTGTTTGAACAATGTGGCTCTGTCAAAAGCAGAGAAATAACAGGTGCCTGTGAAAAGGCTTTCAAAGAAAAGCTTGTTATTAGCAAAACAGTGGTAAGCCACAACAATTAAAGTACTTTGAGACTACTGTATATCTAATCTTTCCCCTCTAATCTTTCCCAGACTTCTGATAACACTAAATCCTAAAGTTTCTTTTTCCCTTTCAGATCCATAGAAATATTTTCCATTATTTCACTTCCACTGCAGGAGCTGTGGGTTTGATATGGTTAGCAGCAGTCTGAATGGAGTAATTGTGAGATACAGAGTGGGTGTGCACAAACTGCGTCAAGACTTCTTTGCAGCAGAGTGTTTGTGGACACACCAAATCAAACGGTGAGTGATGACAACCCCCTTTCATTGGACAATTCAATATCCGAATTGTATGTTGCGTATAGGCCCTACTACAGCATGAGTATATTTGTTGGTGAAGCATGCGTACGTGCATAAATGTGTGCTTTATGACGTGTTAAACTGCTAATTAACTGCAGTTAATTAAAACTCAAATGTGATGTCGTATTTTATAGTTTGCTTACATTAAAAAGGTTACAATAATTACAGATTTATAGGGAGAGAAAATGTCTGTTTGCTTTTGGCTTAACCCGCATCTAGCTCATCAACAAAATTTGCATGGCAGTTTCTTCAACCAGTGTTTGACCTTTTCCTTGGCTCAAGAACAACATTTACATGGTTGAAAGACAATGAACTAAAAGACGTAACAGACTGGATGTAAAATACAAAGACACAATTGATGCAATGCGATCTTGACACTGAGTAATGGTTGTGCAGGTGTCTCTACTGTAAACAGGTGTCAGTGACCCACCTGAGTTGTCTTAGCAGAGTCAATAAACCCCAATAGATGTTGAGCTTTGAAGTGTCATGTTGTTAGAGTATGAAGTGAGATATATTCTGTGACCTTAGCTGTGACAGCTTCTTCCAACTGCTTTTTGGGAAAAAAATCTAAAGGAAACTCAAACTACTATAACAAACATACTTCACCCACATGTGGCGTCACGTCAGGGGTGTTTCAGTAAATAAAAGCCTGCTGCTTACTGGATACTATTTAACAGCACATTATAAATAAATGAGCCTTATAAATGACTTCCTCTTGAAAGCTGAGAGGGAGTTTTACTGACAGCTATGTATTCAACGTTAACGTGTACTTGTCACAGGGACAGTTTGAAATTAAGGTAAGATGCATTTCCTGATGACTTCAACAGCGGGGCAGCTTGCCAAAGAAATGTGATGCTTGTAAAACTGTTAGCGCTGCAGAAACACGCCTGATCTTGCAGATGTGCAAAAAAACCCAAGATAGAGGTCTTGTGATGGCATATTATGTAATAGAAGGTGCAGTGGTGTCGGTGTGGAGGACTTTTAAACTGATCAAAATACCAGTCGCTCGTTGCAAATATCAGTGAGCTAGAATATGAATGTAGATTATTAGATGAGTACTGACTGTCAGTCTGGGGCATATAGTACAAGCTGAATGATCAGCAGGTGATCCAACAGTTTTTTGTTTGTGTGTATTGCAGGAAGTGTTTTGTGAAAATGAACTACTGTATACTTATAATGTGATTGGTGGATTCAAATAAAGTATTTAAAACATGTGTATTTATCAGTGCATCTGTGTGTCTGTGTGAACCACCATGTGTCTGTATATTTTTTGGGGGGGCCTTGGCCCTTTATTGCCGTTTATTGATAGCGATAGGAAGAGTGACAGGAAATGGTGGGCGAGAGAGAGGATGGATGACACATAGCAAAGGTCCACAGGTCAGATTCAAACCCTGGGCCACTGCAGCAAGAACTCAGCCTTGGTACATAGTGGTGCCAACTCCACCACATCTTACAGAGAGATACAGGCCTTCACACAACAGGGACCTGTTTCAACAAATTTGCAACAAGTTAGCTGTGATTTTCCACATTAGATAATTCATTCAGCCGTTC